AACATATACACACAGACAGGGTCGTTGCAATATGCGTTTCTGCTACCTGTTGCAGCGCTCTAGCGCTGCACGGCAAACGCATAAAAAGAAGGTAGGGCAGCGGGATGGGTCGCGCTGCCGGAGAAGAAAAAAACATGATGAGGGAGCCGCCGCGCCGCTCCCTAGCGCACAGTCGATAATAGCTCAACGCTGTGGGAGTCCGCGCAGAGGCGGCGGCGGTGGCACATACGGCCCGCTTACTGGCCCAAGTTAGTTATTATGCTGTTTTTTTGGGCGCAGACAGGGGGGAAAGAGGTTATGGGGTCATCCTAAATACTTTGGACAAAAGGAATCAAATTACTGGAGGAAAATTGTGGTTTCAGAGCCGGGTCTTTAGGTGCAATAATGAGGATGGGTGAGGAGGGGATTTACGATGTCTTGGCCCTGGGGTCACACTGTGTACATTATATAAAGAACATAGCTGTAGTACTTGTATGCTGAATTTTTACAAATGAAGAATCAAGAGAGATACAGAACGCGAGGCACTCGTACGGTATATTATTCGTACATATTATATGTATAACATAGGTGCATTATACCGGATAGTCCACTCCTCCAAATGGTTGTAGTCCATTACATATACAGATGCTATACTTCTGATCTGTACAATATACCAATAACATAGCCTCATTATAGCTTCAGTGCGTGAGTTGTGTATTATACACAAGCAACACATGTGCATTACATGACAGAAATCGCCATAAATGATGTTTTCATGGTTCTGTGGGTAACCACAGTGTATATTATATACGTTATGCGTCATCTATATAAGATGCCGACAACTTAGCGACAACATCGCTTCCGTATATGTACTGTGTACATTATATAAACAACACAGCTGCAGTACTTGTATGCTAAAGTTTCAGTGTTGATAGCATTACCATATAGAAGGTTTGTAAATCAAGAACATTAGAAGAGCCTTTAGGTAAAGGTGCAACTCTTTAAAAAAGGCGTTAAACGAGGTTGTGTGTCAAGGCAGGTATTTTCGCATAAGCTCAAGCTAAGTGCAAGAGTTTGATAAAGTTGCCAGAAAGTGAAATTGCAAAAGCGATGGCTGTAAACGCCGATGTGTGATTGCTTCTCTTGTGGGTTGTCTCTTTGTTAGTGGTTATGAGAGGCCGTGAGCTGACACATTTGCGTTTAGATGAATTTTGATGCAGGTTTTCTTGTTGATAAACAAACTGTCTATTACATTTTTTCAGGCTACACTTTCGTCTAGGAATAGTAAGAGTTAATTTTCATCGATACTGATACCTTGAATACCTTCAATACCTTGAACAGCTGTTGTTTCATCGATCTCTGATGTTACGCCATCGATGCAGCTGGCAACTTC